ATATCAGAAATTGAGTCATTTGGTGAAGTTCGGGTTTTGGTCTTGTGAAGTGCTTATCTTAACGAAATAAGCATGTCATTCAAACCAACAGTAGAAACTAGCACATTTGGTGAAGTTGATGTATCGGTCTTCTGATGTGCTTATCTGAATGAAATAAGCATGTTAGTGAAAGCAGCACCAAAAATTAAGTCATTTGGTGAAGTTCAGATTTTTGACTTGTGAAGTGCTTCTCTCTCTGAAATAAGCATTTTGAACAAACCAGCATCAAAAGTTAGGTCATTTGGTGAAGTTGAGATTTTTGACTTCTGAAGTGCTTAGTCAAACCAACATCAAAACTTGCGTCATTTGATGAAGTTCAGATTTTTGACTTCTGAAGTGCTTATCTCACTGGAGTAAGCATGTCAGTCAAACCAATATCAAAAATTGTGCCATTTGGTGAAGTTGAGATTTTGATCTTCTGAAGTGCTTATCTCAATGAAATAAGCATGTCATTCAAACCAACATCAAAAACTAGCTCATTTGGTGAAGTTGATATATTGGTCTTCTGAAGTGCTTATCTGAATGTAATAAGCATGTTAGTGAAAAAAGAATTAAAAATTGTGTCATTTGGTGAAGTTCAGTTCTTGGTCTTCTGAAGTGCTTAACACACCGTAATAAGCATTTCAATCCAACTGCATCAAAAATTAAGTCATTTGGTGAAGTTGAAATTTTGGCCTTCTGAAGTGCTTATATCACTCAAATAAGCATGTTAGTCAAACCAATATCAAAAATTGTGCCATTTGGTAAAGTTGAGATTTTTGCCTTCTGAAGTGGTTTACTCGCGGAAATAAGCATGTTATTCAAAACAACATCAAAAGTAGAGTCATTTGGTGAAGTTGAGATTTTGGACTTCTGATATACTTATCTCGCTGAAATAAGCACGTTATTCAAAACAACTTTAAAAGATGTGTGATACGGTGTAGTTCAGATTTTAGTCTTCTGAAGTGCTTAACTCGATGAAATAAGCATTTTAGTCTAACCAGCATCAAAAATCAAGTCACTTGGTGAAGTTGAGATATTGGTCTTCTGAAGTGCTTATCTGAGTTAAATAAGCATGTTAGTGAAAACAGCGTCAAAAATTAAGTCATTGGGTGAAGTTGAGATTTTTGACTTCTGATGTCCTTCTCTCACTGAAATAAGCATTTTAAACAAACCAGCAACAAAAGTTAGGTCATTTGGTAAAGTTGAGATTTTTGACTTCTGAAGTGCTTAGTCAAACCAACATCAAAACTTGAGTCATTTGGTGAAGTTCAGATTTTAGTCTTCTGAAGTGCTAAACTCGCTGAAATAAGCATTTTACTCGAGCCAGCTTCAAAAGTTACGTCAATTGGTTTGTACATTTGTACATTTCATCTCATATTCACCAAATGAATCAAAAGTTGAGTCTGCTTGAGTTGGAATGACTATGTCAGTAAGATAAGCACATTTTTACATCAAAATGGCACAATCACCAAATGACTCAAGATTTGATGCTGGATACACTAAAATGATTCTTCCAGTCAGATAAGCGCAATTGTGCATGAAATTGTCACATTCAATAAATGACTGAAAATTTGATGCTGGTCGTGTAAAAACGCTTATTGCAGTGAGATAAGCACAGTTGAACATCTATATCTG